AAAATTTGTGGTGATGAACTATTGCCATAGTATGGGGAACAGAACTGCAGCTACTTTTCCAAGCAAAGAATAGTACTCCTTTCTAAACAGCAATGAAGAAGCTTTAAAAATTGTCTAACCCCATGCAGAAATTTCTTCCTTCAGTACTGGAGTGGTCTCTGTCAGACGGGGAAGCTTTAGAGATTACAGTTTAGTTGCAGTAGCTCTGTTGTGTAAGAAATAATGTTTGAGTGTTTTTGCAAATACTTGCATAGGAGAGTCTTCTGATTGTAGTTATTTGCCACTTTTGTATTTTGCCACTATATTTGTAGTTATTTGTTTGGTCCTGCCTTAGTCTGTTGATAGCAAACAAGACTTCTGAAGTAGCTTTTTGTTTTTCGAAAATGTAGCGTACAGAAATCTTTTTTCAATTGTTTTGACTGAGGCCTTGGCAGCTTGAGGCTTTTGCAAACACTTCTGCGAGACTGGGAGTGATTAAAATAGTATATTTCTAATGGATTCCTCCTTTCTAGCTTGTTCATATCTCCACGTGCACTAGCAGTTGATTTTCTTGTATGTCTGTACGGAAGCATCTTCCAGGGTGTTCAGTTCACTTCCTTAAAGAAGTGCTCTGTCTTGTTCTGTGTGTAAGAACAAGGAGAATCCTGATGGTTATATCTGCTTTTCAGTAACTTCTTTTTCTCTTTCACTGAAAGCAGGATGACCAAGTGAAAACTCAGTGTGAGACACACTGTCCTGCAGATCTAGCTCTCCTGTTTGTGTGGCTTCTCTTACTCTTGGCAATTTCAAAAACCCTCACCCCCCCCTCCTGCTCAATTGGTCTCTTCTAAAGATCCCAGTGCTCTCTCTCTTCCTGAGGCTTCTTGTCCTCACAGGTTACTGTAAAAACAGGTTGAGAGCTTCTTCCCCCTCAGGTACAATTAGTTTTCAATTTAATGTCTTCATAGAAGAATAGCTATGCAGAATGTCAGCTACACCATCTGTCCCATCCGTATCATCTGTCACTCTGCTTCAGGCCACCTGTGATAATCAGGAAAGCTTAGTGTCTGCTTGTCAAAGCACTTTCAACACTTCTGTATTTTCTAACTACTTAATTAAAAATAAAAAAGATAAAATTGGGAGGGGAGGCATAATCAGTTGTGAATGAAAGATTTTTTGATTTATTTTTTCGAAGTACTGACTGGCATATATCTTCCTTTTGGATTTGTTAATTTATTTTAGTCAATGGAAATTATGACATTATTTGGAATTGGAAAAAGTGGAGTAAATGTGGGATCGAGAAGAGATCTCAATCTAAAAACATTGCAGAGTATGACAAATAGAAATAACTGCCTACGGCAGCATGGGACACTTCATTAAAAGCCTTAGAGCTCAAAATATGCTCTGAAATCTCTTCTGTGAAACTTAAATATGTTAGAGGAGAGGTAATAAAAACCACTACAAATTACTGTTCCGGAACACTTACTTGATGGGAATTTCTGTTCTCAAGAAGACAAAATTAACTGTTCTGTTGTAAAAACATTTATTGTGAGCAGCAGAAGTGCAAAGCCCAGTTTTCTCAGCTTTATCCTTTATCCTTTCTAGCATGTTTATATGTGAGTGTTCCAGCTCTTTCTATCCTTATTAGCAGGGATTTTTGCTGGGCAAGGTTAGTATATACTTCATTGGAATAAACTGGCCAAGCAGCAGTAGTAGTATTGGAGTTCATGTCTTCCTCTTTAGTAGCACTGAGCTTGGTTAGTCTTAGTCACTGACAGCTTACAAAATGTACAGAACATGTGAAATTGGACAAAGGGTTCAAAGGCAGTTTTGGGGAGAAAGGAAGAAGTAACATTGCATAAAACTCACTTCCTCAGCTAAAAAAGTGTTAGAAAGACTTTGCCTAAAAAGATATGGAAAAGTCAAGTATTGCATATGCTTGATTGTCCTGATTAGTTTAAAAAGGTGAGAATCTAAAATTTTAATTAGAAGAGATTTATTTATTTGAATGTGTTTGAGAGATTTTCTTCATTCAGTAGCCATCCTCTGGGAAAAGTAGTATGAAGTTACAAAGTAAGATTAATACCTTGTTTGCTTTGCATCTCATGATTCTCTTGTGGGTGATTTACAGGTTGATAGGTGTTTCTTTTTTGTTTTGGTGTGTGTGGTTTTTCTGGGTTTTATTTTTAAATTGGTAATGTACACTTAAAAAATTAAAATCTCAAGGCAGTTCTGTTTCCTGACCTGGTGCATAGTGTTGCCCTGTATACTCACAATTTTTTCTCTCAAATATTACTTATTTCTCCAATTTTTGTGGCAAATCAAATTTATTTTAGTATCTGCATGTCTGTAACTGTCCATCTTACTGTGAAATGTGCAAAATCAAGTCTCTGTAATCACCTTAGAACTGGGCCTAGTCGTCTAAGCATTTTATATGCTTAAACCTTAAAATGTAACTTTTTGATTAATTTCTCCCTTTCTGTTCCTTTTCCATGGTTTCCCCCATAATATGTTTAAGATATTATTATAAATGTTTTCATGACTACAGGACAAAAACCTTAGTTACTCTCAGAATTTAGGAGGTGATGTTGATGTATTTAAGTACAAACATTACACTTTCTTTTAATAAATGGCATCTCGTAGTCTTAACAGACTTGTCTTTGTTATAGTGTTTTAAAAAGATACCTTTTTTGAAGCAAAGATGCTTCTCAGCTTTTGCTCAGAGCATTTTGTCTGTATCGGAGAAGTTTAGCCTGGTGCTTGCTCTCTACTGTGTCAGAGCCTGGCAGGTGTGGAAGATGAGTGTCAACCAATTCCCTCACAGATTTCTTGCAAATATTCCTCCTCATTTCTGTTTGGAAACAGCTTCAGTTATGCCAGTAGCGATGGAGCTCCATGCACAGCGCAGGAAAAAAGATGTGCTTGCTTAAAGGATTTTTCATGTAATATTAATGTTCCCCAAGGGGCTGTGGGTTCAGAGTAGCCTCAGTACTAGTGTGACTGTGCTTTTCTTTGCACTCCCCTTTTCTGTGGGATTTTATAGCATGATGACCACACCCATGTAATGTGGGGGCATAAAGGATCTCCCTGAAAGGGATGACACTAGCAGTGGAATAACCCCTTCAGTATTATGGGTGTCTTGATTAAAAGAACTGTTTTTCCCATATATGGGCTCTCTCTTTGTTTCCTGACAAATGGTTTTTAGTGGCACAATGTGCAGCTTGCAGCTAGGCATTGCTTCCTCAGTTATGCTGGCAGGTAGAAGTGCTGAGGCTACTGCCAGAGAACTGCTGATTCTGGGTTATTTTAAGCCAGGATTGGCTGCCTAGTATTGTTACAGTCAGCATACTGGCATAACTAGGGAGGCAGTCTGGGGACCAGAGGGACTGGGGGGGAGCAAGGGACTGCTGAGATCAGCCCAGCTATTAAAATGTGTTATCTTTAATATTAAAAAAAAAAAAAAAGCCTCTAGCGTGCCCATCAGAACCAAAGCCACAATTTGCCTACAAGCATATCTGGCGAAGTCCAAATGGTAGCAGCGGTGAAGAAGTTTAAAAATTGGTCTTTTCCTTAAGTTCCTTATTTTTAAATTTTGATTTGAACTCGCTGCATTAATTTGCATTTGATATAAGACACTTTCCTCATGCAGAACTGTCGATAAGTATATGGTCCTTCATAGATGGAAATCCAAATTGTCCCATTTACCTGTGGCAGCACTCATACTGACAACTTGCCGAAAGAAACTGAGAATGTTTTATGCATTTACAGGGATAATCTATAGTTTCTTACTGACTTTTCATACCACTGAATATAAACTATCAGAAATTGTTCTAACTGCTTTTCTACATCATTAGTGTACAAGTAAATAGCCAGCAGCATACGAATGAGTAAGTTATACATTTTTGAGTATTATTTAAAATATACTCATAGAAGTGAATGTAGACAGCTCAAAGAAGCTTGGATGGCCTTCCAGCAAGGTGTATGAGTGGCATTAGCAGCTAATGTCTATGAAGATAAGTAGGCAAAACAAGGAATTAGACCAGATATATTTTTTTTAGGTTTGCATATGTACATAGTAATAACGTCAATATTATGATTTGTAGGACCCTGACAATTCAGAGATGAGTAATTGGATTTTGGCATTAATTACTGTGACTTCACTTTAGATATTGATTAGTTTTTGTAATGTGAGGTGTTGTTTAACTGCATCGAGACAGGCATATCGCTTAAATGCTGTGTACATTTATTTCTACAAAATGGTATTGTAACAGCCCAGCTATGTTCAAAGAATTTACGAAGCCAAGGAGAGGTAATCTGTCTGTTTTGTACTTGTATTAAAGAGAGACTTATTGTATTGGAGAGAGAGTATTTACAACAGCATGTACTGACAGGACAAGGAAGAATGCCTTCAAACTGAAAGAGGGTTTAGATTAGGTGTTAGGAAGAAATTCTGTGCTATGAGGGTGGTGAGGCACTGGAATGGGTTGCTCAGGGAAGCTGTGGATGCCCCATCCCTGGAAGTGCTTAAGGCCAGGTTGGATGGAGCCCTGTGCAATCTGGTCTAGTGAAAGGTGTCCCTGCCCATCACAGGGGTTTGGAACTAGATTATATTTGAGGACCCTTCCAACCCAGACCATTTTTTGATTTTATGATTATTATTATTGTAGGCATATGGAATAAATATTCTATAAAACTGAAGTAATAAATCAAATTGTTACACCTACAAGTTGCCATTTTTTGTCAGTAGAAACAGATAATTTCTCTTTGTGAAACCCAACACAGAAAGGTGGTCAAAAATTGAACTGTACATAGTAAAAGCAAGCTAGAAGAAAAATAAGAAATTACGCGAGCAAATAAGGCTTCAGCAGGATTTCTTGTCCCTGTCTAATGTCCTTTTACCTATTTTGGCCTCGAGTTCTTTTTTATAAGGAGTAGAATGGTGCCCATAAGGCTTGTGAAGGCTGGCACAGGAGAGGGAAAGATGTATAGGACTTGGTCTATCTGCTCAGTGCATTAGCAGGATGAACGATCAGAACGTGGGCAGCTCTTACCTGTGGTCACAGCTTGTGCCCGTGGTAGGATTGGTGCTATAGGCAGAAGAATTGAGTAACAAAGAATATAAGTCATTGTAGGAAACCAGCCTTCCCTAAGTTTGCTGCTTATAGAACAACTTAACTGTCTCCTACTGTCTGTTACGGTGACTTTAAACATGATTCTATTTAGGCTGAAAGTGCTCACACCAAAGCTGTGTTATTTATGCATGTATATGTGTAAATATATAAAACATCCTTAAAACACACCTGTAGTGTTGCAGCAGAATAGCACTTTAAAGTCTTTGATGTTGGATCTGACTCCAGTACAAATGTTCAGCTTAATAAACCAGTTCACTCTTGTTAGAGTAAACCTTGAACATTTTATGTGAGTGATTAATACCTTTGGCTTTTCACTTAGAGGCCTTTCTATTTAAGGTAGAATGGGAAATGCTTTGGTGTTTTCATTGTGATATTCTTTAACATACTTTTAAGTATATTGAAAAATATAGCACCTTGGCAGTAGTTTACCAAAAGTTAAGAAATTTGAGGACAGCTGAATTGTTATCTGTTACTGAGTGCTACAGAAGCACACACAGCAGGTGAGGGATCTAAAAGGAGATGAGTACCAGTTTACCGCAGCCTCGTCTTCTTTCTGCAGATATTATTTGGCTTTAAGGTATTTGTCTATCATTGTTTCTCTGAATGTAGGCAGAATGAATGCTTATTATTTTTAAAATGGTTTGTACAGGTCATGTTTATTTGACATGGGTTGTATTTGTTACATTGCCTCCTCTTCTTCTAGGAAACCCAGCGCTTGCTGGCGGAGCCAGTCCCTGGGATAAAAGCAGAGCCAGATGAAAGCAACGCACGCTATTTTCATGTGGTCATTGCAGGTCCACAGGATTCCCCCTTCGAGGGTGGGACATTTAAACTTGAACTATTCCTTCCAGAAGAATATCCAATGGCAGCTCCTAAAGTACGTTTCATGACCAAAATTTACCATCCTAATGTAGACAAGCTGGGAAGAATATGTTTAGATATTTTGAAAGGTAAGTGCTACTGTGTGCTACTTTCTTTTTATCTTATTAAGTACAGAAATTTTTAAATTGACCCTAAAAAGAGTTTTCATATGTTTAAAGAATATCTTTATCCGGAAAACTTGCTGTTTCTGTAGACTATGGTGAATATGGTGTTTCATAGTGCTATAAATGTCTCTTCAGATAAATGGTCCCCAGCTTTGCAGATTCGTACAGTTCTGCTATCAATCCAGGCTTTGTTAAGCGCTCCCAATCCAGATGATCCACTAGCAAATGATGTAGCTGAGCAATGGAAGACCAATGAAGCCCAAGCCATAGAAACAGGTGATTATCTTATACTTTTTTTTTTCTTGTTTCAGGAATAGCTCTTTACTCACTGGCTGGGGGATGTAAATCCTGACCTCTTGTTTTATGTCTGCAGCTTTGCAGCTTGCAGAAACAATTATTGTGTACTGTCATAGTCCAGGTACCCTACATGTGCCTTAAATATTCTATTTTCAAGCTTGTGAGGCTTGAGTTTTCATGGTTTGAATTTGTTAGCCTGTCTAATTTGCATTTGTGGTAAAATGAAAAAGCACATCACTACTTTTCCTCTAGAGCTTAAGGAACAGATTATCAGGTTCCAAAAAGTACATCTCTTTGATACCTGCTTCTGTTGCAGTCTATAGTGGATCAAATTACTATGTTATGTTATGCCTCTTCACTTTTGGATCCACTGCTGTGTTGGGCTGCTTCTTTAATATACAAAAGTTGACAGCTGCTGGAATTCAAAATTGCACTTTAAAATTTCAGAACTGATATATTTTATGTGCTTGCAGCAGTGATATAAAAAGAGATCTTTAAAAATATGTATTTAAAATTACTTTAATCAAGCCTGAAAAATACATCTTTTCTTAAATGTGTTTCTTTTTCTTTACAGCCAGAGCATGGACTAGGCTATATGCCATGAATAATATTTAAATGCGCTTTGAACATCAAGTGTGCATCACTTCTCCTGTTCTGCCAAGACCTCTTCCTTTTTTTGTTTGCATTTAATGGACACAGTCTTAGAAACATTACAGAATAAAAGCCCAGACATCTTCAGTCCTTTGGTGATTAAATGCACATTAGCAAATCTGTGTCTTGTCCTAATTCACTATTGTACCGCATGAGCAGAGGCTAGAAGTATCATCTGGATTGTTGTGAAATTGTTTGAAAGCAGCAGCACATCTCTGCTTTTAATCATTTTTCCCGTCATGGTTTAAGTATAAGCACTGTGAATGAAGGTAGGCAGGGTTAGCTGCGGGGCTTTTTGTTTTAATTTTGTGGGCTCCTCCTCCCTTTTTATGGTGATGCTAATTGCATTGGTAAAAGCAGCTAACCAGTTATACTTTAGAATATACCCTCTAGCCCAGTCTAACTTAGACGCTGTAGATGGACAAGCTTCATTGTTTGAACAAAAAATGGGAACATTAAACATCCACCACCTTCACTAATAATATTGTGATTCTGCTGTCAAGTGTAGAAAAATCCCTCCAAGAAAAAGCTTGTGACCATTTTGTATGGCTTGTCTGGAAAATCTCCTGTAAATCTTATGTTTTAGTAAAATATTTTTTGTTATTCTACTTTGCCTTTGTACAGTTTATTTTGCTGTGTTTTCATTTCTCTAATGTGACAATCGTATTTAAAAAAATTGAATCCAGAGTTGACAATTTGTCTTCACCAGTCTGACAGATTAAACAGTAAAGAGGTGGAGTTCACAAGGGTTTTTTTTTTTTTTACTTCCGTTTACTGACTTTTTTTAATAGTTTATGTTATGTGGGTGACCTTACCTGGTCAATTTAACATGAAATTGCATTTGGAGTGACTTTTAGAAACAAGTCTGATGTAACAATTGTAACCATAATTTTAGTAATGCGTCTATATGTATTTTCATGGAAATAACCAGAATGAAGTAGGAGGTTGAGAGAAAACGACAGCACTAATTATGAGTATCTACATAACGTCTCATTGCTGATTGTCATCAGATGTTATGCAGCACGGTTTTCTAACTTCTTTAATTCCTGCCCTCTCTTAACATGAAAAACCAGTGTGTAGAACCACTGTTATAGCCAGCTTGTGTATTGACTGATGTCTGCTTAACCACTTACAGCCAGCACCTCATAACACTGGTTTTCTCTACAAGCCTTATTAAACTACTTACTTGAGCAACTGCTCATCTTAAATAGCAACAAAGCTTCTTTATTGGAGGGGAGGAAAGTGATGAACAAATTCCTTCTCATCCTTGTATTTTGTGTATGCATCTTGTCTGGGAACCCAGGATCTTTTCTGGGAACCCATCTAATCGCTTCCCTTCATTTCTTGTGTTTCTGTTCTCTTCGTTTCCCTAAGCCCTCTCCCTCACAAAAACAAACAAACAAACAAAAAAAGGAAAAAATAAAAACTTAAAAGCTTTTGGTGAGGCCAACCTGAAGTGTATAAATGATGGCTTGTAGTGGTTGCAGTAGGGAGTGTTTTGTCATGCAGTTCAGGGGTATGGTTATGTAGTCTGTTGGTATTCTCCCTCTTTCACCTCTTCTTACTCGTGTCATCTGAAATTTCTATAGAATGTGGTGTATTTATTGTGCTCTTATGTAAGATGAAGAATATCTATTAAAAACTACGTTTTCCAACAGACAGTGCTTTCAGTGGTTAGTGACCGGTATTGTCCCTCAGCGTCCTCTGTAACATGGTTGAAGCTTAGTTCAGTATTCAGCTTTTTCACAAAACTGACTTATAAAAAAACTGTGTTGAATGTAAGCCAAAGTTGTGTTCAGGGCTCATGACATGTCCTTCAGCTTGGGTAAGCACCATTAACCCTGCCTTCTCCTTACAAACGAGCGTGTGTTTGGCTTTAGCTGGAGGATGTCCCATAGCTTCTGTTAGCGCGACAACTTTCACTGCAGGCAGCTGAGAATAAGTGAGCTGTAGACTCTGGATTCACTTCTCCTACCTCTTAAAGCTTTACGTTACACCACATATGCAGCTTTCCTCAGCTGTCTCTCGCCCAAGGGTGAGTGACACTCCCAGAGGACAGTCGGACAGTCAGACCCACCTAAGCATCCTGTTTGAAAGTGGCTTTCCCTTCCTTCAGTAGAGAAACTGGACCTGAGCTGGCACTTAAAACAATGAAACTTCATAGGTGGGATGAATCCAGACCCAGATGATGTATATTAAATAATACTTATTTTACTTTTAAACCTGATTTAAGAGCCCTGTATAAAGTCAAACTGGGAATTTCATTCTAGCTTATGCCGAGGAACATGTGAAACTAAATTCTTCAAAGCCAGTTAGGTATAACCTTTTCCTCAGTTAAGCAGGTGTGTATTCCCAGCTGTTACGTGAAACTCAGTTATTTCTGTTACATCTGCCATTGCAGCTGATCAGCAAATGCAGCTATCTTTTAGGGAGCAGTAGTTTTATCTCAGTTTTTAGTATGTGTCTATTGGAAATGGGTTTCCTCTACCATTACTGGTGCTATGTGTCAAATGTCCTAAAATCCTGAGCAAGAGTGATGAATTGCATTTTATATGTTAGTGTTTGGGTAGTAACTGTGTAGCTGTTGAGCCTGGGTTGTCGCATGGGCTCTACAGCCACACATGGAAAATACTTTTGTGGTAGTTTCCTGTAGATCAAGAGGAGGGATTGGAAGGCTTTTGGTTTTGCATAAACATTCAGTGGTGGTTTCTTAATGTGTAGCCATGTTCTCTCATGGATGTGAAGTGTATGATCATTTGGACCTGATGGAACAGGTGTTTTGTATTTTAGCTGACTAGTCTAAACCAAGTGAAACATTGCTTCTATAGCTTTCAAGAAAGTGTATTTCTAACACATCGAGACTATTGTGAAACATCTTAATGGACTAGTGACATAAAAAATTGTGACATCTCTATTTATATACATTCCTTCTTGGGTTGGTTTGGTTGTTTTGGTTTTTTTTTTGAGGGTTAAAGTAAATGTCTGGTAGGTTTTGTTAATAACATGTCTTGACTGTAATGTAATATGACACTGAAATAAAAGGAAGAGTGATTATTCATTACTTAAACACTGAGCTTCATTTAACTGTAGTGGGCTGCCATCAGTGTGCAATGGATTTTCCTACTAGTTTTTAACATCTGGTAAGATAAGGAAGATAACCATGATAACTTCTCTCATAACTCACTTTTCAACTGCTGTGGCTTCTCCCTGCCATAGTAAGGGGAGAGAAGAGCAGCACCTCTGTCCTAAAAACCATCAGAAGAGACTGCTCTGGTACACAGCTCAAAGGATGGTGGGTTTTGGTTTTTTTTGTGTGTGTGTGGTTCCCCTCCCCCCCTTTTTTGGCCTGCATCTGTTTAAATCTGTCTGGTTCAAGACTTTCCTACTTATGTGCAGTTTGGACAATTTCTAGTGCAATCAAATTGATAGATTTAGCTTTGCTAAACTGTGTTACATCATGGCATGGGTTAATAATTACATGCCTACTTTTTTTGTAGAGTTTATTGCAACCTTTCCTGTGGAAGTGTGCAGGAAGATTTTAAAGCAAGTATCTAAATGTTATGTTGCATTGAAGTACATTAGAAAAGTGGCATCAAACAGCATGACTGCCTTACCTGTGGTGCTTTCATAAACTCCCCTCGACACTTAGATGGGGTTAGGTGAGAGCAAGTAGAGTGTTTGTGTGGTTTCTGTCTATCACACTGCATGAACTTTCCCAGATAAAGCGATTGATGCAAATGTGGCATGTAACAGAAGCATTTTTATTACTTCATTTTTTCTGAGAAGGTATATATAATTAATTCACGTAAGAAACTCATCTCTGACTCCACTACTTGTTGCAAGGTTGTTCCAGATACTCTGGTGGAAGCTGGGGTCTTGTCTTCAGAGCTGCAGTGGAGGAGTATTTTTGGTTCAGGCCTTATCTGCACCTTCCTACCCAAGCTGCCTACCAAGGCTTGCAAGCTCAGTTGTAAATCTGAAAGATCTCATGTATGGTGTTCAGTTGTTGCTTGCTGTAGCACATGTGCTTGTCTCAGCCCAAATACCTGGTGTGCCTTCAGAAGTACTGCTGCTGTAGTTTACCCATCAGCTACTCATTTTATATAGATAACACTGAAGGCTGAGGCTGGGTACTGGTACATTTATGGAAGGGTGTCTGTGGTCCCATGTCCCATGCCCAGTTACCAAGGGCAGATAAGACACAGTAAGGTGATTCTAATGGTGTTTTTCCTTCCTTCAGTTGCTTTGCATGTTTGCCTACCTTATTCAAAGACAGGTTATGTTAGTGTCCTACTCAGAAAGGAGGAAAGAAAGAAGCATTCAGGAGGATTAAGCAGTTGAATGATAGCAAAAACTCCCTTAGGACACAAGTCTTGTTATAGCGTCTGTCTGGATCTAATGGGCACTAGGTCACAGTAGGCCAAGAGCAGGGTAAGTGCAGAAGGTGATGGTCTGGCTAGTGTCATGTATTGCTGTATGTGCTTCATTCTGTCCCTCCATCAGAATTGGTGGCAACAAATGAGGGAAAGCTGTTGGGAATGAGTGCTACCACTGAGAGCTGCTGAAAGTGCAGTATGTGCCATTAGGCAAGCAGCAGCTGATCACAGAGCAGGCTCATTCAGTGGTCCCCAGCTTCCAAAACAGCTCTTTGAACATAATTTCCTGCTTACTTGAATGAAGAAAATTGTCTGAGAGCATTGTCTGGGGTGGTACATAGCCCATAGCAAAGAGATCGTCACAGGCAGGGATATGCCTGTGATTGCTGAGTTTGCAGGTTAAAAGGTGATACCATTCCTTGTGTGGAACACTGTCCTAATGTGAATGTGGTGCTGGTTTCATCACTTGAGCTAAGGAGGCATTGCCTTGCTTAATGCCATAGCAGCACTGAGGCCAGAAGAGTGCTGCAAGTAAGAAGGTGAGTTTAAAACAAGGTAAGAAGAGGTAGGTCTGCAGCAGCAGGCTGAACTCTGGCAGCAATTTCCAAATTGGGGTTGGTATTAGACATCTATTCCTTGGAACAACAAAAAAAATTACACCTGAGCCACAAATGGTGGTAGACAGGGGGAATACTTGAGGCAAATACTGTCCTGTTACTCATTTGTCCCCACACTGATGGAAGGGAGGCACTGGGCTAGATGGACTTTTGGTTCAGTCTGATGCAGCTGCTCTCACTGTTATTGTACAGATATTTAATACACATCTGTGCTGTGACTGATATGCATGAAGGTGGCACAAAGATTTGGAGTTAGAAATCTCTTTGGTATGGGCAGCAGCTATGTCAGAGAGCTGTACAGTGAGCTAGGGCAGCAGTGCTGGGTAAGCCCATCAGATGGCTCTTCCACCAGACTAAGTAAAGCCTGAGTCCAAGGACAAGGCAAGAAGTAGGAAACATTAGATGAAAATTAAGTTTAGATGAGATTGAAGACTTTTGCACAAACACTTCTGTTGCAGTATTTGCAATGGAATGACTACATCATCCACAGGACTAATTTAGATTTTATTCTGGTATTTCTCGAATATAAAAAGTCAAAATTCTTACATCGATCTTGAAAGAAAATCCATGCAAGCAGGTCAAAATGTTTACAACTTAATTTCCCCCCCTTCCCTTCAGTTTTCACTTCGTAACCCAAGTGTCCGTCCCTCAGGTTTTTTTCACAGCACACTGTTAAAAGAACAATGCTAGGCTAAGTCAAGGGTGCAGTAAGCACCAAAATAAGAGTTTTCATTTGAACAGCCTCTCTGCAATAGCTCAGTATTTCTTGTGGTGTTTAAAGCACATCCATTTCACTTAATTCTGGCTGCATGTGGTTTTGAACTTTAAGGCTCTTTTTTCTTTGATACCAGCACAATCTTAACTCGTGAGAATCTCAAAACCTAACAGTCACGAAAAGCAGCGGTACAAAGTACACTGACAATTGCAGATGACAACCTGTCTCTTCCCTTTGTCCTCAGGAGAACCAAATCTGGATACATTGTACAGAATTTATAGCATGAGAAAAATCCCAAATCTGTAGGAAATACGTTTGGCCCATCAAAATAGAGATTCACGTAATAACAAAACGCTTCTACATTTAAATTGATAGGTAGTAGAAAAAACTGTAGCCTTCCTATTTTCATTTTTACACAGACCCTTTCTGTTGTCAGATTTCATTAGTATTGAAGCCATACCGCTGTCCCTTTACCACAGTTGTTCCCTGTAGCATAACTGAAGTGTTTTCAGTTTACATTTCAATTCACAAAACACTTATCTTTGAAAGGGAGTAGAAGTCAAACTAAGCAGTAGAAGCTTCATTCTGAAGGTTGCATAGAGACTGAAGAGATTTATACAACAAATGCTGTGTAAAAAAAAAAAAAATGGCACTACTGAACAGCTCAAATGTGTGTGACCAAAAAAAAAAAAATCAAAATATTTATAGGCAATCAACTCTTGAGTTTGTTAGCAACAGCAACACTGTACATTTTACATTATTATCAAATACATAATTCAGGAGTTACAAAATAAGGTCATGCATTACCACTAAATCTCATACAAGCTTGGATTGGTTTCATTCCAAGAATCTGAAATGGAGACAATGCATTTTTTTATGAATAAGAACTCAAAACTCGATCTTGTTTTTGCTTTCACAGACTCAATATAATCTTGTTATAAGAAAACCTGTACAAGTTTGCTCAATTTAAAGTGATAAAATAACTACTGAACAAAAAAGTGAGCATTAAAGTGATCAAAAAAGGGAGCTAAATGATTTACTCTTTTAAAGGCAGCTTCAGAGCCAGAGATACCTTTCTACACCATGGGTATGATTTTAACAAAGATTAGACATTCATCATGCTCAACTCCACCTTCTCCTGTTTCACCTGGCAAAACAGTGCATTTCATAGTTTAAAGTAGTGAGCTGAGCAAATGGTGTCCCATTCTGCATCAGGTTCAGTGTAAAGCAGGCACACCCGTGTGTGCACTAATGAAATAGCAACACTCCTTCCCTGGCCCCCTCCTCACATCTGAAAGGATGGATAAGCTGTTGGCAATACTTCCACCTTTAGGTGCACCTGAACAGTTGCATGTTCTTTCCAGTTCTGGAAGTGACCTGGACCAGGAGCTAAGAGAGATGGAAAGGAGCATCCTATCCACCATTTCAGAAGTCTTCAGCTTTGTGGCTCATGCCTCTTGTCAGTAGTATTTATGCCTCTTCAAAGAGAGCAGCATTAAGAGATCAGATCATCTGTCTCCCTAGTTTCACTGCATTTACATATGGCACAAGATTGGTTTTCTAAGAGTAACTTGTGGCAACAACCTTTTTTTCCTAAAAAAGTGTAACAGCACAAAAAAATTCATAGCAGCATTTTCCACAATTTGTGTTAAAAAAGTAGAAGTTAACCATTTGTGTATTGAGTAACAAAAGGTTTAAATTACATTTATTTTCCATTTTACACTCACTATTTACTAGGTGGACTATTTACAAAGGTTCAAATGTTATATAAGAGAATGAGCTTTACCCAGAATTAACTTCACATGTGAGGTAGTGGTCTACCTCAACCTCTGTTTTGGCTGGATATAAAGGAGGTACAGTTGGGTTTAGATCCTAGAAAAAATTCAGAAGTAGGAAGTTTATGTGAATTAGACTGTGTTCTTGTAGAAGAAATCATGCACACACACACATATGGAGAGAGAGAAATCCTATGGTAAAAACATTAAGACCAACAGCGAATTTCATTTTAATCTTTATGGCTGAAGAAGAGGAAAAAATAATTAAGAACAGGGTAGTTGTCAGCTGTACCTCATTTATTCCAACTAACTTTTAATCAAGAGGCCAGCTTTTAGTTGAAGAATCTAAAGAAATTGATGTTAAAACACTAGAGGTGAAGGATTTAATAATTAACTTAAAATTGGGGTTTTTAGCACACCCACCCTCTAAATAAGACAAAGGAGTATTATTTCCCTACTAGTGTAGTAAGTATCCTGTCTCAAGCCTGGGAGGTAGCATTACGAGCTCCTTGCAGGGCAAGACACCTCAACACATGGTTGCTAATAGACACCTTTGTAACGTAATGGTGCC